ATATCGTATATGTATCGTATCGTATTTGTGGTAATGGCGTTCCGGGCCCCCACAACCCGGTGACGTCACTGCTGTACGCCTAATCCACGCCCGGTTACCGGACGCAAATCGCCTGTGAATTTTAAAACATAGTTTTCAAGAAAAGCACTTTTTTAAGATGATTTTATTTTTTTCAAAACTTGATTAGCCTATTTTTTTTTTATTTCATTGACATTTGAAAATTCATAAAATCTCCATGGTATGGTAACGCAATATCTTTGGTGGGTTTTTATAAATCCAGCATCTTTAATGGATAAAAACTGTTAAAAATATTAAATACAGACAAGACAAAAATTAATAGGACTTGACAAAGATGTGTATTTATTTTGATACTGTTTACAAAAAATCATAATAATTGATAAAACATATGTTAGTTAAACTGTATATGAAAGAAGGCAGGCATAGATTAGGCATAGATTATTACATTCTCTCCCCCCCCCTTTTCTTCAACATTGACTCGACTATAAACTCTGGACGTCCAAAACGCATTTGTAAAGTTTTCATTACTGTACTCAAATTTTTACCTGATATAAATAGAGGTTTTACCATTTTAAAGGCATCTCCCTCCAGACAATTTCTTATTCTGTCAAGGTTTTCATGGTCATTAAAAAGGTGTTTAGTCTTATTGTAACAGGAATAGAACATGGGCCATTCGTCTGGTTTCCCGCTGAAGGATGGAAGACGCTGTCGGCAAGAGACAGGTTGGTTGGGGTTAGATAAATTGATAGCTTTTGAAAAGGAGTCTGCTAGTTTATCAATAGCCGTGGACACGATGGATGACGATGTCAAAGGAACTGACGGTTCCTCATTCAGCCACCTATTGACTTTGACATTAGAGTCCTCCTCAACAGTAGCAATATTGAAGCTTACCTTGTCAGGGTCTTCATTATCTTCCAATTCCAAATGACGACTGCCCAAGACTGAGGCGGACTGACTAGGCCTACTTCCCAAGACCGAAGCAGACTCAAGTTCGGTCCTTACTCTCAGCAAACGCTTCTATCGTTCTAATTCTCTTGCTTCAGCTTGACGTAGTCGTTCCATTTCCCTCTCCTCTCTTTGCCTTAGTTGTTGTTGACGCTCCATCTCTTTTTCTTCAAATTCTTTCAGCCGTTGCAACTCCCTTTCTTCGTGTATTTTCTTCTCTAGTCTGTTTATTTCTTCAATTTCTTCCAGTTGTAATTGAAGTAACCGGCGCTTGCTGGAAGTTGAAGATGTGGTTTTTGACTTGGAAGGTGGTTTTAGAGATTGACTATCTCCTTCTATGGGTTCATCATTCTTGTCATTTGCATTTTCTGGGGAATATCTATTTGGAGGGTGTTTCTCTCTCCCTGACTTTCGGATTGACATATTTTTTGACATGATTTATAAGTCGGGTTTCGGCACCAATGTTAAAAATATTAAATACAGACAAGACAAAAATTAATAGGACTTGACAAAGATGTGTATTTATTTTGACACTGTTTACAAAAAATCATAATAATTAATAAAACATATGTTAGTTAAACTGTATATGAAAGAAGGCAGGCATAGATTATTACAAAAACAAAATTCTGTCACGACCATAACGGACATAAAAATGAATATTAAAAATAGTTAATGCTATTTTTATAATATGTTTTGCTGTAAATAGCCTACATTTAGTTTTAGGGCCATTTTGCAATAAGCAGCGGACTAAGCTTTTGGTACGGTAACTTATATTTGGTCTAATAAAAAAAAAATTGAAGAGACAAAAACACTGAAAAGAAGCTTAAAAAATCTATTTACGTTTGTATAACTCTGAACAAACTTTCCCGATACAGTAGAGTCCCGCAAACTCGGCACTCGATAACCCGGCAGTCTGGATAACTCGGCCATCATCTGGCTCAGAAAATTAGTGAATTTTTGAGTCCGAGTTAAACATGGACTCAAGCCAGCTCAAGTCAAATCATTCTCAGCTCGTACAAATGATTTGTTTTACTATATCTGATGACTTAATACTGACTTGTAATATAAATATAAATAAAAGAGGTAGTTAATTAGCTTACCAATTGTATTGTTCTTATTTTTAACCCTAGTTCCCGATAACCCGGCATTTCACAAACTCGGCACCCTTCCAGTCCACATTACGCTGAGTTTGCGGGACTCTACTGTATATGAAAAACCTTTGTTTTTAAAGAGGCGTCCTTCTTATGTGTACCCAAAACATTGGAATATGAAAATTTTTGAATTGTTTATGATCCAAATCATGAACGTTATGGTCAGGGACAAGTGTTACGGTCTGGAATTGGCGATTAACGAGTTTAATATTTTTTGGGACGGGATGTGTTTATTTAGCTTTTCATTCCATTACTCTTATTGAGCGGAGCGAAGCGAAGCGAGCGAAGCTCTTATACTACACTCCTACTTTTGTTTTACAAATACTCCTCCTGAACGGCTGAAGCGATCTGCACCAAATTTAGCACAACCATAGTAACCGACCATGGGAAGGTATAAATCTGAAATGGTACAAATCGGACCACAGGGCTTTTCTCTACGTGAATTCAAACTTTTGGAAATTTAACATGGGCCTTATGGGTTAATTGGTTGCCATGACATTATTTGCGAGACTACAATAAAAAGGTAAACAAGAGTCGCAACATATGTTAGTCAACGAATCATCCAAATAGCATATTACAAATACCGTACAGAGAAAAAGGGAAGAAAAATCGGATTAATATCATTGAGTATAATTTACTACAAAATTAAATACCAATAATTATGGTCGGCGGAATAAGGCTGATGCACCATAATCCAAATAGCCATTCCATTTATGTGAACCAAATCTAGGCCTACATACAATTGAGTTTGGATACTGCAAGTAGACATTCCATTGACGTGAACCAGGCGTACCATTGACATTGGATACTGCAAATAGACACTCCATTTATGTGAATCAAATGAACCACTGCTTTGGATCCTGCAAGTAGACAATTCATTTACAAGAACCAAATGCAACATTGAGTTTGGATACTCCAAGTAAACAATTCGTTTACGTGAACCCGACGTATCATTGACTTTGGATACTGCAAGTAAACAATTCGTATCATTAACTTGGAATACTGCAAATAGACATTCCATTTATGTAAACCGTCAATGCGTACCATTGACTTTGGATAGTGCAAAGAGGCATTTTATTTATCCGAACCAAATGTATCATTGGCATTGCATACTGTAATTAGACATTTACTATATGAGAACCAGATGAAACATAAACTTTGGTTCCTGCAAGTAGACAATTCATTTGCGTGAACCAGACTTATAATTGACTTAGACTTAGAATACTGCAAATAGACATTCCATTTAAGTGAACCAAATATACCATTGACATTGGATCTGCAAGTATCTCATTTGCGAGGAACAGATGTAAAATTGACTTTAGAAAAGTATTGGATTAATATGCTAGCTCCGCTCAATATTGCAAGCATACAACTGCATTGCACACCTAGTTCTTATAATATTCCACAAGACTTGATAAACCATAATTTATTTTTAAACGTAATAGTTTTATATAGCCTATAACTCTATACAATATAAGTGTTTACCTTATATAAGGCAATAAAAATACCTGTAAAAAAATAGTTGTTCAAAATCTATTTTTTTTTTAATTCAATTAATTGTAGGCCTTCTTACCTACCTGTTGTAAGAAAAAATTGTGTTGCAAATAAACTAGCCTAAGTTAAACTGTGCAATTTAAATTAGGCCCTTACTTAATACCGGTATTTAAATTTATTTTCACAACCATAACACAGTACAATTTATAAGACTATTTTGGTCGTGAAAAACCTGTGATGTTCGTGATACCATGGTCGTGAAATCACGTATTATTAGGCTCTTTTCTGGTGGCAACCCTCATCCTCATGTTTAAGGAGGCAAAGTGGAATTCTAGGTTAATGTAGGCTATCAATTAAAATAAAATATCAACAAAAATTAACATCATGTCTACTTCATCAAATGACTACGTATGGTCGTGGAAACATCAAAATTACAAAAACCACAAATTTAAATTTATTTATCTTGTAGGTACTTCTTTTTTTTACTGCAAAACAGCCGACACAACAAAACTAACGCACATCCCGAACCAGTCTTTATAACCAACTGACGCACATAGGCCAGGCTTGCCACTGTCGTGTTCCAAAGTTGCAAATTTGGCATTATGGTCTGGACGTCAAATCGAGGGACGGACTTAAGTATTTTGTAATGGTGGTAGTCATGTCGCAAGGAAAATAAAATTATTATATGCTCCTTTTTTGTAAGTTTAATAACTATTGATGATAAAAATATGGTATCATATATTTTGGCATGAATAATTAGTCTAAAAATAGCGTGAAAGTTGAAAAATGTACCCTAGGAGCACGTGATGGTCGTGAATTTTGAAACTTCAAAAATACAAGAAAAATACTTAGAACTTATTTAAAACAAACAAAAAATGTTTGTAACATGTTGCCCCTGTCCCAAAAATTATTAAAACACATAATAATATACTGCAAATACATTATTACAAAGTAAAAGGCCAGGGACATTAAAACGTAGGCTATGATTTTCACATATGATAGGTACGGTACCTTTTTCTTCAAGATGAATTTCTAAAATGATATGTGATTGCTTTAAATTTAAAATGCATAATCTCCTGAACTGAACTGAACCCTAAATTATACATTTTGACCGCCTTATAACATTTTACATGTGTTCAAATCTTAGTCAATAATTAATTAGTTAAATCGATTACCAGACTACATAAAATTTGCTGTTGAGTGGTGAAATAAAATAAATGGGCTCTAAGTTAAACCAAGTCCAAAACTAATTTAAAGTTAGAACTTGAACTTTTTCAAGTTCTAGATACCTATGTTATACATTTTAACCATTAGGTATGAAAATCGTTGAAACGTTTTTTCAAAGCCTTTACCAAATATAGTTTATTTCAATCAATCATTTCACGGTTACAGATATTACAGATCTGGATTAGAAATGGTGCGAATGGCCAATGTATATTTTGAAGAAGGTCAACTAGAAAATGCTTATATTCTCTACATGAAATTTATGACGTAAGTATACATTTATAGTCCTAAATAAGCCTATATTAACTATTTGTTACAAGGTTAAGTTATTTTTCCTACCACTAAGGAAATTGTCACATTGCCACTCCTGAAAACATTACGCAAAATAGCTCATTTCTGCTTGCTAAATCAGCTGATTTCACAGTTGTCATTTCTATACCAGCCACAGCCACGTAGCTGGTATGTTAACAACTGGTAAGCAAATAACATAACCTAAAACAAACAAAACCTAAATAACATTTGATATCAAAAGTTAATCTTTGTGTTATGAAGAGTTAGTTATGGTGGCAGGAAAAATCTTATGTGTATTACAAGCACAAACAGTCATTGTCGCTCTCGAAATGTATGACCGCACAAAGCTTTTTGAGGGTAATGAGGTACTTTACACTCTTAATACATAAACAGCTATAAACTGCTAAATTGTTATACAGAAAATCCTTGATAAGTTATTTTATAAATTTATATAAAATTTAAATAAACTACATACCCTAAGAGCATTTTATAGCCTATATTTACATCTGTACTGTAAACATTTAAAACCTTTCAAGGTGGTAAATTAAATATATAGGGGCCTATAAAAGTTATTAGTTATTACAATGACAATTTCGATCAGTCAGACGGGTCAACAATTCATTGGAGACTACATTGACTTTCATAAGAATCTCCGACTAGCCAGACCTGTTATAGTGTTGAAAACTTACTTTATTTATTTATTCCTAAAATAGTACCAACTTGTAAGTTAAAATACTATTTAAGAAGTTATTTTTAAATTTGTACAAGGTACCCATGTGATTGTAGAGTTCACTGAAATAAATTAGAACCCCTTAAGTCCAACAGACACCACTCTTCTGACTTTTGACTGACGGATGTCTGCACGTCCAGTGTGGACGGATGATACTCGTGCCTATTTGCAGTTCTCCTTATCACGAGCTACCGAGTAGTCTTGGCTGGTATATCTCGGTGCCACACAGCCACCGATTACATTTTAAAATATAACAAATCATTGCCTTTAGAAAATGGTTATGCATTACAATAGAAAATGTTATGCATGGATATTTTTACAAATTTTAAGCAACAAGTATATTTTTAAACATATATTTTACTTGCTATAATTGTTAAATTTATAACTTAACTTACTCTTCATTCCCAGTCTGTTTGCCACCTCATCTCAGGCTTTTTCCTATGCAACAATAAGAGAGGGGTACATTCGAACACACGTTCATGCTGAATACGAATGCTTGCCAACCGACAGACACCTTGTGCGTTAACTCATTTAACATGCTGGATAGCGATAACTTTGTCGGCACGCAAGCGTCGGGCAAAAAAACCCAAAGCTCCACCAATCAATTTAATATATACTAGCATTCATACCGGTGCTTCGCAACGGGAAGAGAACGCTAAAGAGAATAATTATGTTCCATAGATTTGCTGTATGAAGATAAACTTTTAGTGATCCACTAAAAGTATTAACTGAAGTGGATATAAAAGTATAAAAGTACTCAGTTTCCCAAGCATTATTTTTGGGGAAGTAAACCATACAAACACAATAGATTTTTGTTAACAAATTGGAAAAAAAATCAATAAGAACTATGCACTTAAAAATTAAAACGCCTTATTTCCACAATATACAAATTTATTTATTAAATTAAAAACATAAACATGACTCTGAAAAAATCCTACTTTGACAATTCCCATTTTGTATCACAGCTTTTTGTTGCTGCGTTCAAATTAGCTGTTTGTCATCAATTGAACAATTAATAGTGCTGCACCCTGTTGGTAAACCTTATAACTTTTCAATGCTATTGTACATTACAGAATCAAATTGTTTAGTTGAAACAGCTGTTAAGATTCTTTAATTCCATTTAAATATGAGTACTCATAAGGTTAACATGGGAAACTTCTGAGCCACTGGGGCGGAGCCCTTTTGATGGATCTGCACCAAACTTCACACAAACCATCCTTGAAGAAAGCTTAATAATTCCTGAAAGTTTCATTGCAATCTGTCTAGTGGTTTCGGAGTCCATAACGTTCAAATATATATATATACAAACTTCCTCTTTTATAAATATAGATTTTGATAAAACAGTGTTTAAAGTTTAGCACATTTTTTATTACTTATGTGAAGCATTACACTTGATTATCATTTTCATAATGCTATCTATGTGTGTGTTGTTCCAGATTATTCTTAGAAAAAATCCGAACACATCCCCAGCTGAACACTGTATCTTCAACAGAAAAGGTAGTTAATCAACAGAAGCTGCGAGAAGTGCTGCCCAAAGCAGAGCAGTTGAAACACCAACTCCTCAAGAAATATGAGGAAGAGTATGAGCGATATCTCAGAGATCAGGTTAGTGGCCCAAACTGTTGAAGTTTTATTCAATTTAAAATTTATTTATAGCCTACAAATAGAAATACTTAATAATATACCCTAAAAATTAACCTGGATGTTTCCTCTAATATCAAGGTACAAACTTATAACATGCAAAGGCAAACATTAGAACAATGTATTCAATTGAACAATTTTCTATAAAAATTATTAAAGTTCCCCTTTAATATAAGAGTTTATCTTTAAAAAAGGTTTTAGGAGGCCCTTTTTTACAGATAAACTACAGTATTCATTGTAAAAAAATTCAAAAATTATTGCAGTCTATAGAGTTGTGGCAAACGGTAGGCATGAATAGTTTTTCAAATGATTAATTATTCAAAAAAAATATTTTAACACGAAAATGAATTAAATGAAATGAACCCACGACCTGTTTGCCCCACATATTGGCTTGGACAATCTTGGCATTTAATTTTTTAAACCCCTGTCATTTCAATTTTGTCTCTTGATCAGTCAGTCATTTCGCTGCCTACGAAGCTCTTTGGATAGGCAATTTCGTAGCGAGTGGAAATATTCAACACAAACGTTCTTCTTACGCTCGTCCATTTGTTTGACCTTACCATTGTGGTGTTTGGTTATAAGTTTGTCTACGAGCCCGCTGTTGTAGCCGTTGGATATGGCTATATGCTTAATAATATTGTATTTTTTGTTGTAATTTGTAGGACTTAGAGGGACCGTTAAAAGTCTATGTACCATTGAGTTGAATGCTGTAATTTTTTGTGAGTGTGGATGATATGAGGTCGCATGACGCAGGCGACCTCATATAACTTCCAGGCCACTGCTTTTATAATTTCCTTTCCTGCCGATTTTACTGTTGCGTTCGAGTTTGCTGGGAAAGGTTTGTAATCAGTGAACCAACTCAGATTTGACATAATGTGCCGCGTAGCACCATTGTCGATCCACCACTGGTCGTTTGTGGTCACGATATTCATGTCACTGCACTTCGGTTGTCAGTAACGTCAACTTGTGAGCCCTTCGCTCTCTTCTGATCAGTGTCACTCGTTTTTGAGCTAGTGCAAATGCCGTTAGCACGAGCTGGATACTCAAGCTTGCCGTCAGCTTTCCATTTAGAACACTGGCGAATCCAAACCTTTCCTACCTTTCCTTAAACCTTATTACCTTTCCCCAAACAGTATTTGCACGAAGTGTCACCTTTTGGTTTCATATTCCTCTGACCACCGTTGTTTGTGTCACTAAGAATGTCAATGTCACCAGCTTTTGACGTAGGAGCAACATTACGTTCATGAAGGATCAATGCAGATGAAACATCTTCAAGTTTCTTGTTCTCGTTTGCCTTCATAAGTAAGTAGCTAGACTTGAACAATTCAAAACGCTTCGGAAAAATGTGCAACACCTTTGACACAAACAGGAGCTCAAGAAAATCTTTGATATTCCAAAGAAATACTCGTGAGACAGAAAATCGCGCCGGAATAAATTGTTCTTACCGTGTACATAGTAGACTAGATTTCCCAACACTGTTATGTACATAAAACGATGCTGGGCCCATAACCTCTTGAATTATTCTCCCAAGTGGAGGTGTTTAGGTAAAATCTACGTTATAACAACAATAAAAAACAAATTTAAACTATAAAACAAGAAAATGTATTTCTTATCAATGTGTGCAAGTCATGGAAAAAAAATGGACAACAAAACAGACAGCTGATTATAAATAAACATTCATATCATCTGTAGTGTGACTATTAAAAATAACAAAAGGCAGGCATTTTCAACATTCGTTTTTCGATACAATAAACACAGACGCAAAATCAAGCAGAATTCTGCGTTTGCCTAACATTTAATTGACCTAAACCATAATAATTTGAGTGAGATTGCCTATTGCCGGTCCAACTTCATGCAAAACACTAGAGGCTATTGCAGTTGTAGCACGATCGGAACGATCGCTAACCAAAACAGTAGAGTTAAGGTTCATCCTCATGCTTACCATAGGTCTTTTTTTTAAGTTTAGGTAAAGATCCTTGGTTGCTGTCACTAGAATCGTAAATTTTAGTTTGTGAGCACAGGGATACATTATCATCACCATCCTGTTGTTCAATTTTGGAATCTTAAACTTCGTACTCACATGGCGTCGCCTGGGTCACTGACCCCAAAGTGCCACGCTGAAGTGAATTTGTATTGCTATGCGCGACCGGAAGATCAATTCTGACTTCGTCTGTTGTTTTTGTTAGGTTACAATCTGAATGTGTACAAACAGATTTTCGGTATTACATTTTGATATTTATTTTTACTAGAGGCCATCCAGTGGTCGAAAACTTGACCAAAAACACCTAATGTACCGACTTCTCTGTTTTCAACCCACGCTGTAAATAAAACATGTAATTGGCACTTTTTCCGTTTGTTTTTATTTTTTGTTTATTTTGTCACCAACCCATAAGGCCCGTGTTAATTTTTCTAAATTTTCAATTAATTTTTTTGTGCTTATCTTTAAGCCTATTCTCATTTATTTAATTCACTGTCAATTCGTTTTAGTAAGTTAAGTTTAATACAAGTTTCAAGTTCTAAAATAAGTACTGTGTTTTCATTTTTTACAATTAAAAAACTAACTATATCAATCTTTTGATCGGTTTCAATTTGAACAATGCTTAATAGAAAACCCCCCAAATGACTGCAATGTGGTGTTAAAGGCTTCAATTTACTAGGTAAGTTTAGATTTCTTAAATAGCGAAATGGCAATACATTGACATCTGCCCCACTGTCAAGTTTGAATTTTATTTCTTTGCCTTCTACCAGAAGAGTCATATACTTATTCTTCAGGACACATTCCATGATGGATACCACCACATCTATAACAATTATTAGTTTTGCCTACCTGTCTGTTGTAACTTCCTTGTGATGTGCTATACCCCTACTGCTGCTGATTAAAACGTCGTATTGCACTCATGCCCTGTCCATCTGTTAATTTAGAATTCACGACCGTGTCAACTTCAAAGTTGTTTTGATCTGTTTTACCTTTATTATTGACGAGTCGCACATTTTTTTCTGCAAGTTCAGATGCTTTACAGAAGTTGATTACTTTATCAAAACTTGTATCTTCTCTCAATAGTTTTTCCTGCAACTCTTTATTATTCACTCCTAGAATTATAAGTGCTCTCAAAGTCTCAATATTTCTTCCTGTTCTTCAAACTTGCAACATCTTATTAGATTTCTGAGGTCTGCGTAAAACGAGTCAACATTTTCATGATGTAGTTGTTTCCTTGAAAATAAAAGATGAATGCTCATGGTCATATTTTGTTTTGGTACACAGTGTTTTTCCAATGTCTTCATCACGTTTTCAACAGTTTCAACCACAGACTTATCTTTTATTGAGTTGTACAATTTCAAACCATCTGTCCCCAGTCGATTTTTCAGTCTGGCTAATTGAATTTCCTTACTTTCTTTTGTTGTTTTTGTAGCAATAAAGTAAATGTTGATTTCTTCCTTAACCCTTTCACTGCTATGAAACGATATATCGTTGTTTTAAAAAATCTCTAAGGGATATAGAGAGGGAGGTTATTTTAAAAAAATAGCAAAACGGCCATTGGTGACCTGCATGTTCATAGGATACACTAACAACCACTTAGCTAAAAGATTCGCCCAATCCGATGATTTCGAGGTGTATGTCTAAACCAAGGATTATGAACACCTCACTATGCCCCAGTGGTTGTAGTATATCGCTACAACACACAGGTCACCAATTATTTGTCACACAGGACGGGATTCAAACCCGAGCAGACGAATGCCACTGGCCAAGTGACACACGCCCTAGCCTTCTCGGCTATCTGTGCTTGAAGACTGAGGAGTCAAAAACCGGTATTTAAGCTGACGCCACCGATTGCGAACAGATAGCGTTGTTCAATGCATTACTAGGTAGCAGCACTAGTTAGTCACGGACTATTTAGATGAAATTTTTTAGTTTAAACACAACAGTGATCATAAATGTGTTCCTAAGACTTTGCTGCAAAACATTAGTTTCCCTAAAATGGCCATATTACGATAACCTCATCCAACTAAATAAAGGTTAAATTCAATATTACATTGTAAACTATATGTCTTTTGATTTTATGAGATTTTGGTTTCAAATAATGCTATCAGAACATAAAAATTAATAGGAAAAGTTTTATTAAATGTTTACTACAAATACCGGGATTTATCTTTCTTATTTACTTAGGCTATTGTGTTATTATTCAAAATTAGCCTAATTAATAAAATAGTGACAACATGACAGTTAAAATTCAACAACAGGTAATGGAATTAAAAGGCAAACAAAAAAGTCTTACAAAATATGAATTATTGGCCTAGCACTGAAAGGGTTAAACTGTTTAAATTTGTCTGAAATGTATCCATCTGATAGGTTGAGTGGATCTGGTTTATTGAACTCCATGTTTTAACTTCACTTTCTATTCTTCTATTTCAACTTTACTTTCTATTCTTCAAAATCGACTGCGCCATAATTATTAAACTAAAAGTCATAGTTTTGTATCAACTCTTCTTTATTAAAACCCAAAAGTAAATATTTACAAACACAACATAAACAAATGAACATTAAACATATGTTATTTGTCATTAGGTTATTGGGGTCATTCTATATTTATCTATGTTATAAATCATGAATATAGCATTTCTGGTTCTGACAATAATTAATTCACAGATACGAAATACAGTGCAATGATTTGTGTCAGACAAGTAATTAAAAATAAGGTAACGATTGAGTGATGCTATTGTTTTGTTACACAGGGTTGCCATAGCTTGAGCACTTTTGTCCTTCATATGCCTTATACTTTAACCGTGACTAGGAAGTTTGCAGCACAGTAGCACAGCTATAGATTTACAACTATCTAACTAAAAAACTTCACCATAAAATACTTCTCCACTTAAAGCCATACAGAAATTGTCAACATTTAAACCATGAAATAAGATTATGTAATGTCATTCTCAAAGTCAAATCAAATCTCTTAAACTTAGATAAT